GAGTTACAGTACTAAAAGCTATCTTAAAGTGTAGACGGAATTCTAGTCAAAATCGAGTGGGCGTTGCAAAAATCCCAGAATAAGATGTTCCGTAAAGGCACAATTCCTATGTCTACTTGTTCAGAAAGAGCTGTTTATAGTAAGTGGCACAATGACACTGGTTTTCATTCAGTAATTGTTTCCTTTTAACTGACAACTCAAGGTATCCGTTGACCAGCAAAATACGAGACATGATCGTCTATAAAGTGTATCGAGTTTTTGTGACATTTTAAAGTTTATGCGTTCGTTGGCGATTGGTAGCATGTAAGTGGATTAGAGTAACGATTGGCACATATAGAGTTAAAATTTCATATAATGAATTAGTATTATCAGATACTGTTCCTTTTCGTTTAAAATTTGGTAAACATTGACTAAGTCTTTGCACTTGGTGTGGGTATGATGTGATTATGAAGTGAGAAGAAGCGTAGATTGTTATGGAAAAATGGATTCTATTTTACTGAAAGCATCTGACTGAATAACAGCATGATATGAGTGTCTAAAATGTTATTCAGATCAACCGAGAATTCAGCATCAATGTCGTTTTCACTTTTAAAAGCTTCTAGTTTATAAACATTTTCCCTCAGTTTGATATAGTATATATGATTAAAAGGAAAAACCGAACGAAGAAAAGTGAAGTTCCAATACATAATAAGCAAACATCTAGTTAATTATTTTAATTTTAATTTTAGTTTATGTGAAATATATTTTATAAATTTTTCAATACTTTTTGACTTTTGTTAACAAGGTAGACTAATTTATAAATAAGATTTGTAAAAGAATCAAAGACTCACTTTTTCTACGATGTTGGAATCAATATTGTACCTGAAAATGGAAAGGCATGTATTTAATGTTATATGGTGAGAAAGATTGTGAAGATGAGTCTTCTTTTTCTAAGAAGTTTTCGGTGAATAGAAGTGCGCTCCAAGTTTTGGAAATATATGAAAAGGATATAAAAAATATATAAGTTGTATTCAAAAACAAAAGAGGCTTATCATAAGAGAAATAATACAGAAATGAATGCTCTAGATGAAGTTGAAAGATAAAAGAAAAGAAGCTTGTATGTCAGAAGGACGTAGGAGAGTACAATGAGAGTATACTTTTTAGTAAAAAAACCTATTTTATGAAGTCTTTTCATTTTTATTTTGAAATTTATGTAAATTTTAACAAAAAGTTGTCTAGGGCAACTCTTTAGTGATTAAAATATTGAACACACAAAATTCATTTGCTGTCACTAGTCTAATCGAGAAAAGTTTGAATTAAAAATTTCTCATAAAAGTCTATCTTATATTTTCTAATTTGTGTAATCGGTAGACTTTTTTCATGTATTTTCTGTGGACAGAAGAAGGAAAAAACAATAGATCATTTGGTGTAATCTCTAATTAGGAGAAAAAGCCCATAGTATTTAGTGTCTGTGCCTCGGATACAGAACTAGATTACAAAATCTAGCTCTTAAGCTTGTACTTATCATTTCATTCGAAGACATACATGAATTTCACAAACCAGCAACACATAAAATAAACTTCTAGTCAAAAGATAACTGCAGCGACACATCGTCGAATGAGTACCTAAAAGTAGTTGATATCTAGTTGTAACGTTTGTGAATGTGTGGTTACCTATAAAACCTCAAGAGCATAGATTTATTGTGCTTCATAAGACACACTTTTGAGCTGTGCAAAAATGTATTGCTTCTGAAATAAAACGCTTTTGGCAAGGGAACCAAATTCCAAAATTTCACGAGGCTGACTAAAATCACTACCCAAGTACCCAAAATTTTTCAGAAACGCGTTTAAACACTATGGTTTTTCATACCGTTTTTGGATACCAGTCGATGTTCCCGACTACTACCCAAAAGTGATGAAGATAATGCATCATGAAAACGCTAAATTCCCTCTACTGAAAGGAGGGTATTACGAAAAACGAGTTAAATGTGTTCGTCCGTCCAATAGGAAAGCAGATGAATAAACTTAACAAACCTCAAGCAATATCTGTAGGGATAGGTTTCACCGAAGGTAATTGGGATCGGGGAACACGATGGCGTCGTAAGATTTTTGAAATTTTACTTATTGCTTTTTTTTAGGGGAGAGAGAGACTTTTTTACAAAAACAATTAGTTTTTTGTAAGGGTTGACCGAAGGTAATCGGGGTCGAGGAACTCTAATCTAGTGTCAAATTTTCAGAATTTATGATCCTCAACTTTTTAATTAAAAAAAGTATTTTTTCAAGAAAATAGTTTCCTTGTAAAGTTTGATCAGATGCTGTCGGGCTCGAGGGAGTCGAGTCGGAGATCAGATTTTTGAAGTTTCGCTTTCTACCTTTTTTTAGGGAGAGAAAGAGTTTTTTTGGAAAAAAATGACTTTGTTTAAAGTTTGACCGAAAGTTGTTGACGCGGAGTCATTCGATTTTAAGTATAGTTTTTCAAAAATATTTTGTCATCGTTTTGATAAACGAAGAGGGTTGCACAGAGATCTATTGTACAGAATGAACATCTGAGCTTTTTGAAAAAGTAAAACTAAGTGACCAGCAACTGGCGAGTGACTGGTATTTCGAAAGCATTTAGGAGTACCACAACGACGTTATTAGTGGTTATGATCCTAAACAAATAAATAAAGTTGATTCAAATAAGGTAGCGGCTGTCGCTGGATCGAATATTAAATGTTTCATAGTTCAAGCTAGTTTATAATGCATTATGAGCTGTTTAGATTATCGTATTTTCGTGATAACAATTCTTTGTCGGCAAACTTTTTAAGGGTATTATTCGATGATGTTGATAGTGGTATATATATATATATATATATATATATATCGCATGCTTATATTGGATTTTATTACGCATCGGCTATAGGCATCTTGCGGTGAAGTTGATTATTAATTTGGCAACGGCTATTCGTGATAGGCGTCCCAGAGGGTCGCCGACGAGCGAATAGCTGCTCACCTGGATATATCCTTGTTTTATTGCGTACGAAAATTTTATTATTTAAACAAACATGGTTTTGGAGAATGCTGCTCCTTTTCAACAAACAGTTGAACATAACTACATGTCTGTATTTTGTGTATAAACACTAAATCGTTGAAGGCTTTTTTCAAAGTCTTCAGTTTATACTTGATATGTCAACTTTTATTGTAGCACGAAGAATTTATTCAAAATTAACACGTAGAATTCTAGATTAGCGCATCTACGAACGTTCGAAACTGTGCAAGTATTCAGAAATCTTGTCTTATTCTTCTCAAAATTGTGAGTAATTTTTTTCATGTGTAGATGAAACTGAATTAAATTAGTCCCATAACAGTTGTTTTCGGGTTTCCTGCAAATTCTCTTTGTTTTCATCTAATAATTATATAATGGAGCGAAGCTTTCAATCAATCATGCAGTGTGTAAAAAGGATCACGTTCACCACATATATACAACGACACTAGTGGAGGCGGCTAGTCGTGAGTGGCGCCCCACTGGGGCGCCGATGAACGACTATAACCGCTCCGTTAAAAATCTGTTGTGATTATAAGACTACAGGCTTTGCAGAATTATTGAATAGTTACACGTTGTCTCCATCAGAAAAGTTGAAACAATTTTCAAAACTAGGAGATATCTTGAAGTTCTTCCGCAGACAGGTCGTGAAATAATTGCTCAAGTCGTGTGAAATATTTGAAATTTATATTTGTCGTAATTATCTTAATCCTAGGGTATTAATGAACAAATCTGAAAGTATTTCATATTTTAAAAAGGTAGATACATCGTTTTCATGATTGTATTTCAACTCCATTGATTTCCAACTATGAGTAGAAATATATTTTATTTTTTAATTTAGATCACTTCCAGCAACTTTCATTCCATTGTTTTTTCCTAAAATATACAATTATTTAAGTGACTAGAAACTTCGCCTAGCCAATTGTCTTAACTGAACTATTACACGTTGTTTAGCTTCACGAAGCTTTGTATTTATAAGATCTGAACAATATAAGCTGTGTTCGAATCAAATCCTACTGAATCTTTTTATTCAAATTTTCGTTATAGAAAAAAAACTAAGGATACGAATTTGAGAATGAAAATGTTGATCATTTATAAACAGTAAGCAAGACGAAGGTTTTTATCTGATTGCATTATCCATTTTCACGAAAACTTAACAATCGCGAAAAGCCTCTAACATATTCCACATGCGTTGGCCTTGAAGTTAGATAGTGTTACCACCAGTATTTTGTCTCATTTTAACAGCAACGATGTTTACATTCATACAATTCAGCATCAATAAGTAAACATATTCGGTCTTTTATTTAACAACGTCCGTCTCAGCAGCTTTATTCTTGAGATATTTTTGTATCATTTCATCTAATGAATGTTGCTGAAATATCTCACTATATAATGGATGCATAGAAATGAATTCGACCAACGTTTTAATAGTATGAATTTCATATGATTTATTAAATTATAAATTAATTATGTTCGTAATATAATTGAACCTGTTAGGTAATTCTTTCGGTAAAAAGTTGTTCAACATCATGACACAGATTATTTGATCCAAGCGCATTGTTCGCATCATTAAAATAAAAGCATGTTCTTCATCAGTAATTTCTACTGATATACGCGGTGATGAAAGATTGTTATCTTGATTCATTTGATTGAAAAATCTAAATATATATTTTAGAAGATTCTTTTTCAAATACTGTTTGACTAATACTATTGTTTTCTGTTTATTTAATGAGCTACAAAAAAGTTAAAATTATATGTTTATTAAAAAATAATCAAAAAAATAAAATAAAATTGTTCAAGAAGAATAAAAGTCAATATAATAAATGCCAAACTATTTAATTTTTCTTTATTCTTCTTGGCTGTGTGCGTCTTGAACGTCCTTGAAAATTTGTGTAAGATTCAATTTTCCTTTTGCCAGTTTCTGACAAAGGACAAGTATAAACTACGTCATCATCATCATCATCAGCCTCATCATCATTGTTATCGATCATGTTTAAATCTTAAGTCGTTTTCATTGATGTTTGTAGTTGATTTTCTGCATATAACTCATTAGTCATAACATCACTTGGTCGAAATCGTTGAATATTGTATCTTACATGTTCTTTATAAAATATATTTGATTGAAATATTTCAATAAGTTCATCTGACAAGGTCCAATTGTTGTTTGTAAAAATATTCTCTTTTTGATGAGGATAAAATGATTTTAAAAAGTCGTCATAAGTAACATTTGCCTGAAAAAGATACTAAATTTTAAACATGTAGGAGTACTTTTGTACTAGCAAAACATGAGTATTTACATGTTTTTGTAGAGATTGCATAAAATCGAATTTCAATACATTTGAATTAGAAGCTGGACAACTTCTACAAAATCAATAATAAATGAAAAGAATTTTATCAAAGGATTCATACTTTAACCATCCTGGACGAAGTATACGTTTAGAATCTTTTTTTATTTGTTTTTTTGCACGAGTTGGTTCGATCCAAAAGTTTTCTCCATATCGAAGTAGATTAACTTCAACTAAACGTTTTACTGACTCTAGTCGAATATGAGGTTTGTTACATATCATGGTTAAATCTGTCTTCGTATAAATCACAGATTTTCCTGTCATTATATTTTACATGACTTTTTTTACTGTTCGTTCGATTACTTTTTCATGTTTATTGGTGACTATGTTAGTCAAAGAGGAAATGATTAATTAATGAAAAATTAAATAAAAAACTTACTATCTGTTAAGGTCTTTTGTGTTGATATATCAGAATGTTCATCTCTATCATTAGCTACTTTTTCACATGTTGTCATAGACGAATTGTGAATATCATCTAATAAATCGTCTTCTTCGTCTGTGAAAGCTTCTTTAATGAACGGAAGATAACTCATGTAAAGAAGTAATATATTTGAGAATAGTTTACCTATTATATCAGTATCTTGTCGATTAGACAATGTTTTTATTGGACTATCACGATGTGTTTCTTGAACTTTTTCAATCGTATCATGAAAAATGTTTACTATGGGTACCGTTGTATGTCTACATTGTATTGTTGGTCTATTTGCTTGATTGATTGTATTCAGCGATTGACGTATACCATTTACTTGATTTGATGTAACATCTACAACTAAATTTTCAATGTGATGAAACAGACGAGTAAATGTGTCTGCATTTTGGATCAGAAAATTTCCTGGTTCAACTTCTTGAACAACATAATTTTCAATGTGTTTTCGAATTACAATATTTAGTTGGCTTTGATATTTTGAATATTCATTTATAAAACATGCACTATGTGCAAAGATTTCTAATGTTAATTTTGAAAAATTATTATTTGGTGGAATTGCAGATGATTCATAAATAGAACAATATTCATCAATATTGATATCATGTTTCAGTAATTTTTTCATGAATTGATCTCTTGCTGGATCATCATCTGGTGGAATTGGTGCTTTCATGTATGATTTTACGCTTCGACCACGACCCAGGTCGTGGACGTACGGCGGGAAACGGCCGGAAAGCACAGGAAAGCGCTGGAAAGTGGAAGCAGTATTCCAGTTGGAAGTTACCGGATTTTCTTCCTGTAGATTCCGATCAACTTCCAGATGTAAAACACAGAAAACTGACCGGAAAACACAGGAAACTGACCGGAATCCACAGGAAAAAAATCCGGTAACTTCCAACTGGAATACTGCTTCCAGTTTCCAGTGCTTTCCCGTGCTTTCCGGCCAGATACGGTGATTTTTCCGCATCTTTCCGGCCGGTTCCTACAGTATCCGTCCTCCGGAATCATTGACCTGGGGACTATCAGTTAAAAAATAATTAAATTCGAGTAAGTTATCCTTCATTAATTCTTGAAGTGCTTGTTCACCTAATGCTGGTCTATCCTTAGATTTTTGTACATACATTTTTTCTGTTATAGGATGTTTCACACTTATTGCTGATAATGGAAAAATATTGAAATCTAAATACATTATTAATTGTTTTACTGTCTTTTGTTTCGATAGAATCAATGGATGTACAATTATTGATTTATTTGCAAAATCATGATCGATTGTAAATAGTTTTGTTGCTATATTTAAATGACATTCATACCAACTCCATGCTGCTAATATGGCTTCTATTTTAACAAATATTATCGGATCTACTACTTCTGGACTAACTTCTGTACATGGTAAATATGTTTTGTCATATTTATAATAATTATTTTTGATTATCATATCTACATTCCTCACGAAATCCTCGTTGATGATCAAATCCTGATTGTCACCTTCAGCAAACACAACAACATGTTTAACACGTTCAAGTATTTCCATAGCATTTATATATAATTGCATTAAGCATGCTAGTCTAGGAAAGGTTGTACCAGTTTTACCATAGAAATCTGTAATTTGCTGCTGTTGATTTTGTAACTGATCTTGTGTTTCCAACAAATCAACAACTAAATTCCATAATAAGAACATGGCAGAACGAGGTTGTTGCGTCTGTTCATCTTCCACTTGTGAAGTTGACGGTTTATTAAATGATGCTGTAAGTAAATTAGAATCTAAGAAATCTTAAAATTTATTACAAAGTTTTTGATTTATATACCACCTCAAAATCTTGTACGTTCAGCTTCCGACATTTCAAAAGCAAATCTTACAGTACCAAATAGATGAATAATTACAGATAGGTGAGCAAAAGTTGGATTATTTTTAGAATTCATGTTAACCTGAAAACTGCAAATAAAAAATCTGAATCAGTATATCTATCATTATCTAATGATGGTGCTACTCTTGAGGTCTTGAATAAGCCAATTTTGGAATGCTCATGTAAAGAAATCTATTATGAGAACCGTCAAATCCACTAAAATTTATCCAATTTTTCATATTTTTAGATAGTTTGCCACCAGTAGTGGCAATTGCAATTGTCAACCTCTTGTCGTCAATCTGTATCATTGTTGTTCTTGATGAATTATTAAATCTACCAGCAACAAAATATAGCTATTATTTTTCTGTTATAATATCTTTTTACCCATCATATCCACAAAGTATGATATTTCTTTCATGTTCTTTCGTGTAGTCATTTACGTTATACAATCCATAATTCTCAGCAATAAGATCTGCATCATCGTTTAGCAAGATTTTATTATTGGACTAAAGATGTTGCCTCAATTCAATATGATTGGTATGGATAATGATGGATGATCAATTCGCTTCGGTTAGCTTACCATTCACCATAACAGGTTTCAGGTAAGTTAATGGAAACATTTTTTCGATTCTTGTAATAGCACTTTCAAGTTGTCTGAATGCATGTGTTTTGCCACTTTCTTGAAAATCAGAAAAGAAGGTATGATTGAAAGAAGAAGAGAGGAATATGTTAAATAAAGAAACAGCATGCCATAAGAAAATCTTTGTATCGTACACTTAACCATACAACTGAATATTCTCAATGATATGAAAAATCCTTGCTTAATTAACTGTGAAGATATTACAAAACTAAACTAATATTCATTTTCTTTTAACAAATTGACGTTTTTATAATCAAACATACGAACAAATATTAATCCTGCACATCGACGTTTTCAGTAAGTCTTATACGAAAAAATAATTAATTACTCATTAATATTGCTTCTTTTTTCAAATACTCCATCATTCAAATCTAGTATAACGTGGATTCATATTCATGAGGAAATTATATATTATAAAAAGTAGATGGACGAAACAACACTCTTATATGTATGTTTTAGACTGATTCATATATTTGTTTTCCTCTTGATGTCGTACAGAAAACTAGTAAGAGAGACATATATACGTATATATATATAGTTCCGTTGTAATGATGTTATGATAATTTCAAAAGGTACGAAAGGATAACATATATAAATTAATTGATATAGCAGGTCGAGGATGAAGAAGATAATTTATTTCCAAAATATTCATGATACGTAGAAGATGAACTAGGAAAACAGCATTAAAGAGAAAATATTTGAACAAAATCCATTAAAACAACTGCAAAATAGGAAGATGAAATAGAGGAAAAGAATATATTGTAAATTAGATTATAAAAGCAGATACTTATATCATCCTACACATTTCTACATTTCATTCTGACAAGAAAAAAAGACACTATAAAAGGTGTTGTATTAGAAAAAATGTAGTCTCTTCAAAGAATATTTGAACATACCACTGGCGCCTAGCGACCATAAATACCATTGTACTGGACGATGATCGGGACTAGCATAATGAGTATAATAGGATCCTTGCGAGAAATGTGACACAATTGCTAATGATAAAAAAAGACAAACAAGGCTTATAGTTATACGTATTCGTATAGGTCGTCATTAATCGCATTTATTCTGAATTTAAAATGTTAGCCATTTGAACATTCATTTGTGATGCTGCTGTTATGTTTTTTAGAATCATTTCTGAAATTGTTTTGTCATCCATAACGGGTGAGCGTTTCGACATTGTTAATTAAAGAAATAAAATAATTAATTAAATCTACAATCTCAAGAAATACCTTTTAGCTTAAAAATATAAAATTTGATAATTTGTTTTATTTGATTCGTTAAAATATGATTCTATTTTTTACTTTTCTATCTTTAGTTTTCAACCTCATATGATGTTATATTTTTTTCTTTTCTACTTCTATCTTCTTTATATTGTTGTCCAGTTGTTTTTAAATATCGTTCTATTCCAATTCATCATACAAATGACGTTAATGAATTCTAGCATAATATATACAATAACAATGTGCTAATAATTTTAGAAATATTAAAAAACTCAAAAATAAGACGAACTTTTGCCCTTGTTATTTAATTTTCACTATCTTAAATAGCAGCTCCTTTCAGTGATAACTATCAAGATAGTCAAATATAACAGATAAATCGAAGAAAATGTATTGCAAATAGCATTTATGTACACCAGCTGATCTAACATGCACACAAAAAGTACACCGAGATCGGTCTAATTATAAATTTTGTAAGCAGATAGAATTTGATTGATTTCATTCTTTAATAATAGTATGCAAAATTTAATGTTGAAAGTAAATATCTGTTTCCCTTTTTAAAGTCAGATATTTAAGACCATATATTCAGTGAAAATTGGTACCAATTTGAGATTTGTCATCACCTCATTTTCTCATAGCTATCGTTTTGTTTTTGATAGTTGCATAAGATACCTTCGACTTATATAACTTTTCTGTTTCTTTTCATTAAACGAATTCTTTCAGTAAACAAAGTACAGACATTTTTCTCTGTGCTGATCATGTCATATCGTTGAACTGAATTTTCCTCCACAAAAATCGCATATTGGATTAGGACACTTTATTTTAAGATGTGCTTAAAATAATAATTCATTAAATGCATTTGCATTGTAATTGAATAAAATATTATAAAGAGTGTTCTTTTTGTTATATTTCGTAATCTTTAAATATATCATTCTCATCAGCGAGCAGTATCTTTAAAGAAAACAAATTAGTTTTTGAATATAAAGTAATTTGATACCACTGGGTTTGTTCAAGACATTGTGTAAATTCGATTATATTCCTTGATGAAAAACATCTAATATTTAAGTGAAATCAACAAGTATTATATTGACGATGTTCAAATGAAAACTGACACAGTTGTTGTAAAATAAAATTGCATAGTCAACAATAAGATGCTTTCTGCTTTTTATTTGTATTCTTTTCAATTTTTTTGCTTCAATAGAATATAAGTTTCGACCTAAACATTTAGAATTTCATGAAACAGTCTGTTCAAGTTTATTAGCTGGAAAAAGAAGTAGAGAGGTGATATTTATTTTATGATAAATAGTCTTATGTTCCAACCTCGGTCGTTCATTTTATTTACGAATCAGAATTAAATAATAATGAAGTTAAGCTGAGCACCTCATGATTCATTGATTCTTTCATAGTGTGGACTAAGAAGAAATACAGTTGGAGTAGGTAAAAAAATTTAAAATATTTCGCTCAATGTTTTGCCCGCAGTAATAATATAGATAGTTAATTAATGACAGAGGTTTGAAATCGATAGCAATAAAACAAATCACATTGTGCATACAATTTTCACTAAGAACATTTTCAAGAGTTTCAAACTCATTCTTCTCCTAGCAGTATAAATAATTATCAAATACGTAGATGAAAACATTGTTTTATTCAAAGAAAATTCTTTATTTTGATATTAATTTGAAGCTATTTTTCCATATGTGATCCTTTATTTTACAATCGTGTTCTCTTCTTCTTCAATAATGCCTTTTGTTTAAAAATCTATTGTTGATAATCATCAATATCAAAATTCTTGTATAAATATAAATGTATATTATTCGTTTATGATAGTTTCAGAAAATTTCCATTCGAAAAATGAAGTTGAGTAAAACAATGGAATTATATACTGTCGATTTAAGATACAATATTAAATATCAAAATTTATATTTCCATCGTATTTCTATGTACTTATAGTATACTTATGAATAGGACTTCATTTCATATCCAGACAATTTAACTATCTTAAAAGAACTACTTCTTAAATAACATGCTGGCTTTGTTTGTGTTAAAATTTTTTATCTAGATACTTGATTCTTTTAGACAAAGAAATTGGTTTTACAGGCGATAATTAATTTTTCTGAATTTATACTGACGAGCACGTTTCTGATTAAAAAGAAAGCATTCAAATTTAAAATTCGAATGTCATACGCACGATGAAAAAAATAAGATCATTCTCATATGTGATCAACACAGAAAAATTTAACTTAATAAACCATTCATAAAAGAATTTCTTTTTCAACAAATAAGTTTTCGATGTATTTGTCGTTGTTGATGACGTACTTAAAAAGTAAGCTAACTTGTCAGACCCTGTTAAATTTTTCTTCGCTTAAAAAAAAGACTGTTAAGATAAACCAATTGACTATCAATTAGTCAACTAATGAAAAGACAGTCACCAACAAACTGATCACATAATCAATTATCAAACAGAAATTGTTATTGTTATTTTTCTTTTTCTTCCGTAGAATAACATATAAATATACGTTCTTGTATTCTATGTAAGTCATTCATCTCAATCGTCGAGTAGATAATAAGTAAGCATCTATTTTTAAAATAATGTATTTACTTTTCAGGGGTGTTACATTACAATACACAACGTTTAACAATGCATTACAATTACAATTACAATGAAATTATTAATGCTTTTTTTTTCGCATAACAACTCTTCTTAAAAAGCTGACACTAACCTATTCATTTTTCTCTGTTTAGAATGTATTCTCATCTATCAATGACAACCAACCAATTCTGATATCAAAAATACAAAAAATGTAAGTATAAAACATAATAAACTAATTTCTTTCTGTTTCTAACTCTAGAGGTGTTATGTTGATGTCAAATTACAATGCAATCATAACTTATTTCCTTTCCTGCTTTAAATAAATTCAAAAAAAAATAACTTGCTTAGCTATAACCTTCTTTTCATTTAGGTTGTTCACAAAAACTACTCGACAAGATTAAAATTAAATTAAAAACAAAAATAAAATCAGATGAGACGATATGAGAATGAACGATTGTGTTGAGTCGAAAAAAGAAATATTATTCCCGACGGAATATTAAAAGTTAAAATTTATTTTCAACGCAAAACAGATACACAACAAAAAAATAAGAGCCACTCATTGTTACTAGAAACGGCGAAATAGTGTAGAACTAGGAAGGCCTTTTCATGTACACGAGGTCACTGTCGTCGCATTTGTACGTCATACCTTCTGTACATTGCCCTACCAGTCTGACGTGGTTCACTCTATGTGCACCCGTTTTATGACCATGGGCGGCTCTTCCTGGTAGCACACGCGACCATTAAATTTTAATTAATAATCATTCAAACTATTTTAATAAACGAATATACTAGAGAAAACAAACATTTATAACTTCCTCTTCACTTCTTCTATACTATTCAACACACTCTTAATATGTGGATGTGTTGAAGGCAGTGAATTTCGTAAAATACCAACTGCCGTTTCTAGATAGGAAAGTGCTTTCAAGTATTCGCCCATGTTGTCATACACTCCACCTATGCTGTTGTAGGAAGTAGCCAAATCGGGATGAGTCGGAGGCAGCGCTTTTTCTTTTATTTTCAGTGATTTTTCGTAATATTCCTGTGCTTTCGAGTATTCACCCATGTTGGCATACACCAGACCGATGTTGTTGTAGGAAGTAGCCAAAGAGGGATGATTCGCAGGCAGAAATATTTCCCTCACTCTGAGTGCTCTTTCGTAAAATTCAAGTGCTTTCGAGTATTCACCAACGCTGTAATACACTCCACCGATGTTGTTGTAGGAAGTAGCCAAAGAAGGATGATTCGCAGGCAGAGATGTTTCCCTCACTTTGAGTGATTTTTCGTAGAATTCCAATGCTTTCGAGTATTCACCCATGCTGTAATACACTCCACCGATGTTGTTGTAGGAAGTAGCCAAAGAGGGATGATTCGGAGGCAGAAATATTTCCCAGACTTTATTCGCTTTTTTGTAAAATTCAAGTGCCTTCGCGTGTTCACGCATGCTGCTATATACTTCACCAATATTTTTGTAGGAAGTAGCGAAAGAGGGATGATTCGCAGGTAGAGATATGTCCAGTATATTGAGTGATTTTTCGTAAAGTTCAAGTGCGTACGAGTACTCACCCATGCGGTTATACACTNGAGTGATTTTTCGTGAAGTTCAAGTGCGTCCGAGTATTCACCCATGCGGTTATACAGTAGGCCGATGTTGTTGTAGGAAGTAGCCAAAGTGGGACGATTCGCAGGCAGAGATATTTCGCAGATTTTATTCGCTTTTTCTTTAAATTCAAGTTCCTTCGAGGATTCACGCATGCTACTGCACACTTCACCAATATTGTTGTAGGAAGTAGCCAAAGAGGGACGATTCGCAGGCAGAGATATGCCCAGTATTCTGAGTGATTTTTCGTGAAGTTCAAGTGCGTCCGAGTATTCACCCATGCGGTTATACAGTAGGCCGATGTTGTTGTAGGAAGTAGCCAAGGTGGGATGATTCGCAGGCCGAGATATTTCCCAGATTTTATTCGCTTTCTCGTGAAATTCAAGTGCCTTTGAGTATTCACCCATGCTTCTATACACTTCACCAATGTGGTTGTAGGAAGTAGCCAAAGAGGGATGATTCGCATGCAGAGATATTTCCCAGATTCTGTTTACTTTTTCGTATAGTTCAAGTGCCTTCGAGGATTCACCCATGTTTCTGTGCACTAGAGCGGTGTTGGTGTAAATAGGAGCCAATGAGGCGTCATCGTCTGAAAGAATTTTTGCGATAGATTTCGAGTGATTTTTCGTAGAATTTAGCTGGTTTTGTGTATATCCCTTGCTGGGATTTCAATATTCCAAGCATGTGATAAATATGTGCTCTATCGCTATCAGTAGAGGCATTCTTGAGTAATTCCTTGTAGAGTTCTTCAGCTTGATCCAAGTGACCCACTTTGAGCATCAATTTACCCATTCGATACCATCCACTCGGGCCTTGGACCTCCTCTGTGATGGAATTGGTAAGACCAGCAAGTTGTGGATCATTCCCATCAGTAATAGTCAATTGTACTTCCCAAAGAGGACTATTCTCAGCCATGTGTTTAATTTCAACGACGCGAAAAATAGTATGCATTGTAAATAGTATTTCTTTCTCTCCTGGAACAGCACTGTGTTTATCAATCATAGCAAATGGAGTATTCGAAGTTGATATTGTACTCTGATCAATAGTCATAATAAAAATAACACTAACATTTTCTGTACTTTCGTGTGGTGAATCATTAACAAAGTCCATTGCCACTTCTTTTTTTTTACTAGTTGATAAGAAGTTGTTGAACGATAGTAGACCACCTTTTGAATTACAGAGATTCTGAAAATCCTGTTG